GACCAATTATAAAAGTAAAAGAAAAAATTAATACTGAGAATGATTTATCAGTTATTAAACCAATTGAACATAAATCACCATCAATCGATAAATTATCACGAAAGAAAATTATTGATGAACATATAGAAAGTCCATCACGATCACGTTCATCATCTCAAGAACATATTTATGATAATTTAGATGTTTTTAAACGTACAAAAATAAATAATAATGTATCATCAAACGAAGATGAACCATCATCAACTACTCATGTTAAAACAAGAGATAATCATATACAATCAACACGTTTAAGACCACTTACAATGCATATATCAGCTGCTCATGATAAACAGACAGCCAATGAATTTGAGAATGTTTTTAATCAATTTCAAAAACGTGGTTCAGTTCGAAAAGTTCGACCGAATGAAGAAATTATACCAGAACCTAGTCCTCTACCAGAGACAGTTGCACCTCCTCGACCACCATCACCTGTACATACTGAGAATGAACCAATAGTACCAATTAATAAAACTATCGAAACCAATCCTATACCACAAACACCAAATCGACGTAAAACAGTTGGCGGTGTTTATTTACCTGCAAATAATAAAGTTGCAACTAATGATAATAAACCTACACCATCATGGATTGAAATGGCTAAACAAAAACAAAATAAATTGTAAGTTATTAGGAACTATCATTTCAATTAATTATAGATTTAAACTATTGAAAAATATAGAATACGATGACGAATTTCATTTATATGATAATTTCTCACGGGTTCGATATATTCATGCAAATATGACTATCTTTTGCCATTTCGATTTGCTTCAATATTTTGTCTCGACTAATAATTAAATACGAAATACATGTGTTAAAGGTCACACACGTCATTTATTGTATTTTCATGACTATAAAATTCAATGTCTTTTGTTATTAACTTACGTAGATTGTATTAATATTCATTTTTTTTCTCTTTTTTCTTATTAGTCAAACAGTTTCGAATGAAAAAAATCATGAGAATGATTCGGAACAACAAATTCCTATGGAACCAACAGTAACAACTAGAAAACAAATATCTTCAACTGATGCTCGATCAAATCGAAAATCAATGTTTGAACAATCGACAACATTAGCAAATACAAATCTTATTGAACGAGTAAATTTAATTATCAATTTTGTTTTTTCTATATTTATAAAAATTCATTTTAGGATTCAATACGTGCATTAAAAGCTGGCAATCCAAATCGTATAAATAATTTAATACAGTTTTTTGACAAATAAATTTTTTTTTTTGTGTTCGACTTTTCTTTTGTTTTGTGTCTCCGTCTTGTAATAACAGTGTGCGTGTGCTTTTTCTTATACAAAGATAAATCTTTGATTATTATACAACGACAAAATCGTTTCGTTTTTTGTTTATCAATATAAATATATATATAAGAAACAAATAATCGGTTTTTTTTTAGATTATGGATTTATCATCAATGTCTAGTCAAGGTATAGGTGATGCTCAATTAGCATCATTTATTGAACAAGAAAATCAAAAACAACGTTTTCAATCAGTTGTACATTCTTTAACTGAACAATGTTGGGAATTATGTGCACCAAGTATATCATCAAGACTAGATGGAAAAAGTGAAACATGTTTAGCGAATTGTGTTGAACGTTTTATTGATTCAAGTAATTATATTATTAATAAACTTGGTCAAGAAGGTGCTGCTGCTGTTGCATCAATGAAATCCAATGAATTTAGTACATCAACTGATTTTTCTATGGGCGCACCAGATATGGGTCTTCAATCACCCGAATTTGCATCAGAATATAGTTCATCATCAACTCAACAAGATAAAAAGAGTAGTTGGAAATTTTGGTAGATTAGTTACTTTTTTAGTATTGTTGTTGTTTTTTGTTTTCTTTCTATCTGAGTAAACTTCCAGATTACGTTATTGTTGTTATTATTATTTTGTTTTTTCAGATTTCTGAATATAACTGAATTAAAATGGTTGAATCAATTATTGGTATTCGTGGAAAAGATTTTGTCTTGTTAGCTCAAGATGCTAATACAACAAAATATGGTATTCTTAATATGAAATTTGATACAAATCGTTTATTCAAATTAAGCGAACATTGTGCTATGCTTGCAGGTAAGATTTCAAAAAAAAATTAAGAATTTTTGCAAATATGTTTTTTTTCTAGCTGGTGAACCAGGTGATGTTGTTCAATTTGCAGAATATGTTGGTAAAAATATTCAGTTATATAAAATGATCAATGGTATAGAATTATCTCCATATGCTTGTGCAAATTTTACACGTCATGAAATGGCAACATCGCTTCGTTCACGAAATTCATTTTTAGCTAATGTTATTGTTGGTGGTTTTTCAACAAATGAACGTGATCAAGAACGTGCACAACTTTATTCGATTGATTATTTAGGTGCCATGATTTCAGCTAATGTTGTTGCTCATGGTTTCTGTCAATTTTTTGCTTTGGCTATTGGTGATCGTTTATGGAAAGAAGATCTAAG